TAGGCCAATGTCTAGAAGAGTATTTCCAACATTTTCCTCTAGAATTCTAACAGTTTCACTCCTTAGGTTTAAGTCTGTTACCCAGTGAGAGGTGAAAGGTATGGGTCCTGATTCAGTCTTCTACATGGCTATCCAGTTTTCCCAGCACCATTTATTGAATAAGGATTCTTTTCCCCAGTGTATGTTTTTGTCTGCTTTGTCAAAGACTAGATGAATTGAACACTTTAAATGGGCAAATTATATGGCATGTGACTTATATCTCAACAAAGCTATTAAAGAATAGTAAAGCATATATTTTCTCTAAACAAACTGACAGCACACAGACACAAAATCTAATTAAAGTAGTACTACTCTTGCCTATTTTACTGAGAAACTGTTAGATAATACTATCAAAGCTTTACAGCAATCATTTTAAATAATGTGAATCATTTAATGTAACATTTGTTTGGATGATGAGGACAAGATAGTATTAGCAATATTATCAATCAACCTCCTCTACCTTTCTGTTCTTGGTAAATTAAAATGATAGTTCTTGCTATGGTTTGAATGTGTCCCCCAAAAGTTCATGTGGACAGTGTTGGAAGGTGAGCCCCAATAGGAGGTGATGGGCCATAACAGCAGAGCCCTCATGAATGGATTACTGTCATTATCTCTGGAGCAGGTTAGTTACTGCAAGAGTGTGTTGTTATAAAGCGAATTCAAACCCTGATGCTCTGTCTCATATGCTCACTTGCTCTTTTGCCATGTTATGACATATCAAGAAGGCCCTCAAAAGCATGCTGGCATCATGCTCTTGGACATCTCAGCCTCCAGAACTCTGAGAAATAAATTTTTCTTTATAAATTACCCAGTCTGTGGTATTCTTTTATAGCAGCAGAAAACAAACTAAGACAGTTATTAAGCCAAGCAATTCTACTGTTAACAATTTCTGAGTTTACCAATGATTACATTTAGAGTGAACACATACAAAGAGAAATATTGTTAAGTTATATGGTTAATTAAAACTTTGCTTTTAGGTCAGGTGCAGTGGCTCACACTTGTAATCCTAGCACTCTGGGAGGCCGAGGCAGGAGGATCACTTGAGGTCAGGAGTTCAAGACCAGCCTGAGCAAGAGCGAGAACTCACCTCTACAAAAACCAGAAAACTTAGCTGGGTGTGGTGGTGTGCACCTGTAGTCCCAGCTATTCAAAAGGCTAAGGCAGGAGGATCGCTTGAGCCCAGGAGGTTGAGGCTGCAGTGAGCTATGATCATGCCACTGCACTGTAGCCAGAGCAACAGAGCAAGACACTGTCTCAAAAAAAAAAAAACAAAAAACTTTTGCTTTCTCATGCTGAAATCATATATGAAGTATATGATTGTAAAAAATTCAGTTACTGTAGATGTTAAGTACAAAGTAATTTTTAAGATATTTATTTTTATTTGATATTTAAGAGAAAGTCATTGACAATAACCCTCACAGAATTACCTTTAAAAAGTCTGAAGCACCCAAAACCGATATTATAGACCCTGACGTAACAGATGCATAATAAATGTTAAAATAATTTAGCCTTTAAGGAAAGACTTTTAAAAAACAACCAATAAACACAATTTCATGAGTTTTCATCCTATACTTCACTATTAAATTTTATTTACCTTGTAAAATGTATAGCAATCTAATACGTGTGGATATGTAGATAAATAATTGTTACTACACTGCTTTAAGTTACATGTATATGAGAACAAAATTAGCACATGTGAAAGGAGATTTCAGATCAAGTACTGGGACCATCCAAGAATAATAAGGGATACAATTTAATACAGCCTATTTATAAGAATTTTGGAATCAAGGTGTTAAGGATAGAAAAGGTAACTTTATATTAACTATAGCCATTTTATGCACTTGCCCCAAAAGTATGAATTTCCATATTAAGGCATATTCAATTTAATATTTTTCCTTTACATCTACAGAAATTTTCTTGCTTTACACCAATAGTTACCAATCTGGTTAACATACTGCGTAGTACAAGTAAATTTCATTCAAGAGGAATGATATGAAAAATCAGCACCAAAATCATTTCAGGTTTATATAACCAAGATTTATATGAACTTTAACAATTACAGAAAAAAATTCTGGAAGAAAACACTTCTTGGGTTCTACTTGCATATAAACATCGTGAAAAGGAGGGAATTTATGTTCACAGCTCTACCCTAGTGCCTGGAACAATGCCTAGCACACAGTAGGCACTCACAGCTGTGGAATGAGGCAAAATATGCATAGTATCTTTATTATCTCAGCAAAGGCAGGAAAATCTTCAAATCACAATATACAGAGAACAGAAATCAAGTTGTAAAATATTTTTTATTGTAAAAACAGTCAACAGAAATTGACATAGAGGTTGACAATGCAGATTTTATCTCAGAACATTTCTCCTTGGTTCCTGAATTTGCCAGCTTCCTATGTACCAGCAAGTCTTCATTAGCATTTCTCACGTTTCATGGTCCTTTTCAGATATGTTGATTGATTATATGTGTATATTGCTTAGAAACAAAAGCCCGTCTGGTATTGAAAAAACAAACAAAAAACAAAACAAAACAATAAAACCCCTAGTTCTGTTGTGCTTTTGTTTCACATTTCCTACAGGGAGATCTGTATATCTCAGATGCTTTCCAAAACTTAACAGTAAAATAAAATTAGTGCCTTAACCAAACAGTAAGATAACAAAGAAACCTCTTCACAAGTTACTGAATCAAACCTCTCATGACATTTGCAGTATATTCAAATTTAAATATATTTTTTAATTTAGAATTTAAAATGCGGGGGGCAAAAAAAAACACAATTTAAAACAAACTTCAGACTGCTGATTTTCCATATTTCAAAGACTGTAATTATTTTCAGCATAGAAATGGAGAGAGTAGTGCAAAATGCATCAAGTTTTATATGATAAATATACTTTCAAACTAATGGCCGCCTCAAAAGCAAAGAGTGAAAAATTACCACTTCTCAAAACAAATCTAGACTGACTTAAATTTCACAATTTAGAAATATCAACTGCTACCCTATTTCCATAGATTGCAAAATTATTTCAGAAACAGATTATACATACAACTGTTTTACAAAAATAGAAATATTGTTTGGGACTTTACAAAACTTTATAAAATATAATAATACTATATTTGTAAATTCAAGATAGTTTCACACTGAAATAGATAATCAGATATGAAGTCTAGTCAAACTTTGACTTACATATTATTTCTTCCAAATCTTCAAACCTAAGTAAATCTGTGCTCTATCATGTGATTTTTTTAAGAGATTGTTTATTTTCAAGGGTTTTATAGGAAGATTTTCATTCTAGAAATGTTAAAGCAGATGAATTTATATCTAAAAATAAGTCTTACTAAAAGTAGAAGCTAATGCAAAATGACAATTCTATATTATTGATAAATTTCAAACCAAATTCCTAAGAATGACAACCTATTATTAATTTAAAATATATATTTGACAATTATAATTTCAGACCTATAAAACATAAAAATATAATCACAACTATTTTATGGAAAAATACATATTCCTCTAAATTTGGTTATTTGTAGCTATCAGATGAGAAATATTTCCTAATTATATCCATTCATAAACACGCATCACTTCAAAGAGCACCAGTGTATTTTTTAAACAAACCAAAAAGTGAGAAGGTAGGGGCTTATTTCATGTAACAGTGCTATTATGATAAGGCACCACTAGGGTATATGAAAAAGCCAAACAAAGAATTTCCAAATCATGTATTTTTGTTACTGGTGTCTTAACCATTAGATAGGCTGGTTAGAAAAATGCTAATAACTATATTAATTAACCACCTTATACACCATTTCTCATCATTCTGTACTTTTAGTTTTTCCATATAACAGAAATGAAAACAACAATGTAGTACATGATTTGTTAAATAAACATCTTTTCCCAACCTTCCAAGAAAACAATCTAGAAATAAACAAGAAACAAAAAATTTATATATTTGTAAAAATCTATCCCTGTAGAAGAGTGTGAGGAAGGTGAAAAGGGAGGGGAAACTACTTTCTATAGAATATATTGAGGCACATACAGGTTACAAGTTTCTCAGGCAAATTCATGGCTAGAGCAAAATTGAGAGAGAGCTCAGAATTTTACATTTCCCCCAAAGCTGATTTCTCAGATAGTCACACCCAATTAATTAAATATTTCAAAATGTGTCCTTAGTCACTGCTATCATCATCATCATCATCATCAGATACATCATTTAAAGGAGACTTTAATGACTGACTGTAAGAGTCTGATCTAGTAGGCTGGCATGTGGCCATGTCCCCAGTAGAAAGAAGGTCATAGCAGAAGTCACAAATCCGCACAGGCTTAGAGGACTGGCTGGGAAGAAGAAATCTCTTTTCAGAGCAGGGCCCACAGACAACAAAACCACACTTGCGGCAATGGTGACGACGATTAACAGGTGTGAATTTTGCTTTCTGACAACGCATACATACAGTTGCCTCAGAGTCAGGAACCCAGACAGCAGCGTGTTCATTACTGGGTGTCTTCCCACTTTTGGAGAGTAAATCAGTAACACATTTATTTATGTGATTCATCCATTCTGATTTCTCAGTAGCAGTGGCAGCATAAACTGCAAATGATTTAGTTGGTGTCTTGATAAGCCATCCATTCCTTAAGTCTCCCTCATCTTTAATGGAATCAATAGTGACATTTTCCAGAGGAATAATATGTTGTTTGTTATATTTTTTCTTCTGGATGACAATATTACCATATACAAGAATATCATTAAATAAGAAAAACTGCCTTGCTTTGGGCTTTTTTCTGCACAACTTAGTCAATACTCCTTCTCCAATAAGAACCCGTCCCGGTATAGTTAAGGGTTGACCAGCTGCTCCAAAACAGTTTTCCACTATACTTATACGTCTAGTATTTGCTTCACTGTTTGCCAAGCGATCCACCATCTTTTCCTAATAGCCTTAAAAAAGAAAGAAAGAAAGAAATTAGCACATGTAAATTATAAATTCCCAGAAGTTAATAAATTATATTACCTAAATTTAATCTAAAATCATTGCTTTTACACAAAGGCAAAATGTTCCAAAATTCTTTCCCTCTAAGATAATCACTAAGCACAACAAAAGGACTAACATCTTCTAATTTTTATAATCAAAAACAATTACTAACCATCTCCTATATAGCATCACACTAGTTATAATGGTATTTATAAAAGTATCAACTTCCTACAGACATCAATAATGAAGAACAATTCAGCAATTAATATCCATCATCTCTGCAAAATAATAAACCCAATTCTGTGAAATTTAATCTCAATGGGATTCTGAACAACCAAGGACCAAATATTATATAAACAAACAAAAAAAAATGACTACCATTTTCCCAGCAAGCTGTTACCACTGAGCCAATGCCTTAATTCTCTCCCCTGGATTACTGGAACTGGTTCCCAGCATGTTTCCTTGCCTTCAGTCTTGCCCCCTAAATCAATCTTTAGACAGTGATCTCTAAAGTGCTAATTTGACCCTACCATTGCTCAAAATGATCCCACTTAACCTATAAAATACAGGGTGTCTTTAGCATGGTATTCAAGGCCCTTCATTACCTGGTTCTTTCTTATCTTCCCAGCCTCACCATAAGTCACTTTTCACCTCAAATGTATTCTAAGAATACCCTACTACTTGTAGTCCATTTTGTTATTGTTTCCTTTACTACTTACTACTCCAGTTAACTCTTATTTATCCTTCAAGACTCAGTTTAGGTTATCATATCTCCTTTGGGAAGCCTTCCTTTAAATTCCTACACTACATAAAACCTTCCTCTGTGCTATCCATATTACATGTATATTCTAGCTTCACTTTTACCAAAGTACTGAAATGTCTCTTCCACAGATCGCTGTGTAGCCTGAAAAGCAGAGAATACCCGATATCTTTGAAAGTGACAGTCTGACATAGCAAAGGTATTAAAAAATGTTAACAAGAACATTTTAACTATGTGCAAAAAACCCATATTAATCAAATCTAAACATTCATAGATTTAATCTCTGGATCTAATATTGACTTCATTCAAGTCCCAGAGTTGTGTCTTATTTCAAACCTACTAAACTAAAACTACTACACTACAACCAAGTCATGTTAAAGAAGAACAAGGTTTGAGAAGAATATTTAAAATTTAAAGACTAACAGCATAATCTAAGTTCCAGCATTTAGCTCACAAACTAATGATACTATAACCCTTCTTGGTCTCCATTATAGAAGAGATACCATACAATTTTGGTTATTCCTGAATTCTGTCTCTCTCCCAATCTTGTGGCCTTACAATATAAAGCCCTCTTGTCCTCCACAAGGGTAGGCTCTGGCAGGCCAGAACATTGTATTGAAGAATTAATATGATGATGCACAATTCTAAACTGTGAAGGTTTCTCTTTGTAATTACGACTAATCTGCCAGCTAATTAAAAGTCTACTATCCTATGCACAAGTACATCACAGAAGAGGAAATAAAAACAGCTTATAAACATGAAAAGAGGTCCAACTTTTTTTTATAATTAAGCAACATTAAAACACTAAGATATTTTTCACTTAGATTAAGAAAAATTTAAAAATTTACTAAGATGAAGTACTCACAAAGATGTAGGGAAATAGGTGCCCTTGTACACTACAGAAGTATGTGTACCCACCAATCTAGGTATCTAAGCACAGAAATTTCACTCACATGCATAAAGATACATACAAGGACAATTAACACAGCACAGGAAAAAAATTGGGAAAGCCCCAAATGTCTATCAAGAGGAATTGGATGACCAAGTTATGACGCATTCTTAATCATAATTCTTGAGAATAAGATAGATCTAGAAAAAGCAATATGGAAGAATGCTCAGGTGAGGAAAAGAGCTGAACGTCATGATCCCATTTTTGTTTCAAATACATACCATATTTCATCAAATCTAAGATGCTATAGATTAAGACATTCTTATTTTATGTGCAACTCATAAAGAAAAAAGTGCTGCCAATTAAACCACGACATACCCTTGATTATAACATATTCCAATTTCAGAGACTTTATATACTAAGAAACATTTATCTTTAGACTCAATGAAATATATTAGGTTAGTGCCATAAGTAATTGCAGTTTTAGCATTGTTGAAATTTGCCATTTGATACTGGAATACATTCTTAAATAAATGTGGTTATGTTATAAATCATTTTAATGCACATTTCTCACTTTATGTTTTTTGCTAATGACTTGTTACTTGCTGTTTATTTTATATTTATTTTAGACTATGGAAATGATGTTAGACAAAAAGCAAATTCGAGTGATTTTCTTATTCGAGTTGAAAACAGGTCATAAAGCAGCAGAGACAAACTCGCAACATCAACAATGCATCTGGCCCAGGAACTGCTAACGAATGTACAGTGCAGTGGTGGTTAAAGAAGTTTTGCAAAGGAGATGATAGCCTTGAAGATGAGGAGTGCAGTGGCCAGCCATGAGAAGTTGACAATGACCAATTCAGAGATGATCCTCTTACAACTACAGGAGAAGCTGCCAAAGAAGTCAACTTCTCAACGTTGTTGTCCTCGACCATTCTACAGTCCTTTGGCATTTAAAGCAAATTGGAAAGGTGAAAAAGCTCAATAAGTGGGTGCCTCATGAGTTGACCAAAACTCAAAAAAGTCATCATTTTGAAGTGTCGTCTTCTCTTCTTGTACGCAACAACAACAAAACATTTCTCTACTGGATTGTGACATGCAACTAAAAGTGGATTGTATACAACAACCAGCTATGACCAGCTCAGAGGCTGGACTGAGAAGAAGCTCCAAAGCACTTCCCAAAGCCAAACTTGCATCAAAAAAACGTCGTGGTCACTGTTTGGTGGTCTGCTGCCAGTCTGATCCACTACAGCTTTCTGAATCCTGGTGAAACCATTACATCTGAGAAGTATGCTCAGCAAATCGAGGAGATGCACCAAAAACTGCAACACCTGCAGGCAGCACTGGTCAACAGAAAGGGCCCAATTCTCCACAACAACGCCTGATCGCATATCGCACAACCAATACTTTCAAAGTTGAAAGAATTGGGCTATGAAGTTTTGTCTCATCCGTCATATTCACCTGACTTCTAGCCAACCAACTACCACTTCTGTAAGCATCTCGACAACTTTTTCCAAGGAACATGCTTCCACAACCAGCAGGATGCAGAAAATGCTATCCAAGAGCCTGTCGAATCCCAAAGCACGGATATTTATGCTACAGGATTAAACAAATTCATTTCTCATTGGCAAAAATGTGGTGTTGACTGTAAATGGTTCCTATGTTGATTAATAAAGATGTGTTTGAGTCTAGTTATAATGATTTAAAATTCACAGTCTGAAACCACAATTACTTGTGTACCAACGTAATACTATAAAAGCATTACCATAGACATTTGTAAATATGTAAGCACACACAGAAAATAAAATCAGAAAACTATATGCCATACTATCCACAATAGTAATTTATTTCAAGAAAGTATGATTACAGATAATTTTTTCATACTTTAAATTATATTCAAACATTCAACATGTATTTGTCAGGCACTTAGGATCTAGGTGCAGGAAAAATAAGAAACAATACAGGCAAGGTTCCTGCTCTTCAAGGTTTACGTTCTAGTGGGGAAGGAGAAATAGAAAACAAAATCAAGAAGCAAGTAGTAATTAATGCTATGATTTTTTAAAAGTGATTTTTAAAAGATGAGCTAACTAGATGGTCAGGGAAGGCCTTTCTGAAGTAGTGTCATTTCAGCTGTTAAAAATTTACTAGACAGGCAGACATAACGGGTGGGAACAGGGGAGAATATTCCAGGCAAAAAAAAAAAAAATAACTGCAAAGACCCTAAGGCAGGAAAATAAGTTGGCACTTTTAAGGAATGAAAAGTATCTATCCCCATCTGAATGACCAACTGATTCTACCCATTTGGACATAGCTATTAATCAGCTCATACACAATGCAAACAGGTTTCCTATTGTTGTTACCACTGGAATTATTAATAATACCACCATAAATTTGTACAGTGCTTTTTGCATTTATTATCTTCTGATTTTAACTGTCTTAAACTCCTAATAAAGCAACTGGAGAAGTTTTTATTATCGCCCAAAGAAGCATCTAATAATATTAGCTGAAATGTGAGCTGAAGAAGAAACTAAAGCAGAAAGCAACAGATTCAACAATGTTAGAAGCAAAACTTAGCCTGGAATTATCTCTACTTACAGGGAGTCCAAGCGATGTGCTGAGCACTTTGCACTTTATTATTGTATTTCCTACTCCTAGCAACCTTATGAAATATGCACTATTAGCTCCATTTTATGGATGAGTAAACAGACAAAACGGGGTTAAATAACTTGGCCAAGGCTGTCACAGCAGAACAGGGCTCAAATTTGATTTCTCTCTGATGTTACCAGTATATTATAGTATACTAATTGTTCTTTACAACTCCACTGACTCTACAAGAACTCTATGAAAGCTATTATTAACCTCTGGACCTTCACTGCAAACCCTAAAAACACTGAAGATAGATAAGGGAATACTATCTTGAGCAAATCACCTAAAAGAATATGTCATCATTTACCCAGCTGGTCTGATAATGTTTCAATTCTTCAAATTTTGTAATATATTAAGTCTAAATCTTTGTTCATAAATCTTTCCACCTGTTTAAGAATGATGCAACTTAAGAGAGGCTTGGGGCATTATTAATTAGTATTTGGCTAGAGCAAAGCAAATAGCTTTCAAAGTTTGACAATGACCCACATAAATACATTTCATTCTGCAAGGTTACAAACATACACTCATGCAATTCTTTCACCAAATGATGCATTCTATTATATTCATTTATTCTAATGATAGTGCCAGCTCACTTGATTGATTTCACTAATAGGTTGTGACCTAAATCTGAAAAACAACGGACACACAGAACCTAAGTCCCTTGACCTTAA